TTCAGTGTTCTACTCCTTTCTGGCCTTTTTTTTTTTTTTTTTGTCTTTCTGTTAGATTTTGTGTTTCTTTTTCTATTTGGTAAATCTAAATTCAGGGACGGTCCAGCTTAATGATTAGACTTGTGATTCAACACTTGTGAATTTGATTTTTTTTAAATCTAACGGTACACTTGCCTGATTTGTGAGCAGGCAGTGTGGGATAGGTTCCCACTCAGTGACGGTGTGAATGTTGGTGTGTTTCTTTTTCTATTTGGTAAATCTAAATTCAGGGACGGTCCAGCTTAATGATTAGACTTGTGATTCAACACTTGTGAATTTGATTTTTTTTAAATCTAACGGTACACTTGCCTGATTTGTGAGCAGGCAGTGTGGGATAGGTTCCCACTCAGTGACGGTGTGAATGTTGGTGTGTTTGGTTGTTTGTCTCAATATGTGCCCTGCGACAGACTGACAACCAGCTCAGGGTGCAATCCGCCTTTCGCCCGAAGCCACCCCCGCGACCCTTTTTAGGATAAGCGCTGTTGAAAATAGATGGATGGATGGATAGACTGATTTTTGCAGCATAAATTTAAATTGTTGAAAAATGTAATTTGGGTTTATTTCAATTGTTGGTACATTCAGGGCCACTCATTTGTTAAGCAGTGAGTGTCGACATTACGAAATGAAATAACTTCAGGTGTGGAGAATCCAGCAAAAGGGGGCCTTGAGGGAGAAAAAGACGGATGGATGAAAGAATCTAAGGTGGTCGCTTTGAGCTCAGAGCACCAGCAGCGAGTCTCTGTGCACCTGTTTAACAAGCTGAAAACCATGCAGGTCTCATCTGGTCTTAACTTGTTCCAAAGCCCCTAGTCTCAAGCACTTGATCAAAACCTCAAACATTCAGTAACCATCCCTCATTTTTCTCTTGAACTCAGAGCTTCCTTGGCATTATAATCAGCACCGCTATGGAATGGAGAAACTAGTGTTCACCAAAAAAACCAAAATAAACCAACAACAACAATCTCTCCATGTTGCATGTCATCTTTCCCTCAGGATACCCTTGAGAAAACCGGGCCCACCTTTTATACCCGCATAATGAGTCGGCTCTGTAACACCATGTGTAATCTATAATAATGACTCTCAGGACAGCTACATCTGCTGACCTCTCCTGGGAGCTGAGTACAATTATTTACCCAGCAAAAAAAAAATAAAAAAATCATTGAACAAAGCAAATGCAATTTAGTACAGGAAAATAAGATGCAGCTTCCTCCACTTGTTTTCAATTAGAACTAAATGATCTAACAGGATTCTAAAGCAATGTTGCGTATGTGCTTTTCCCAGTAGATTTGAAGGACTCGAGCTTATTATGATGTACTCTCATTGAGAGTGTGCGTGGATGTGTGACACTGATTGGACAGGTGTTAGTTCATCAAGCCTGTGTGATTCATCTCCCTGCACCTATGTCTGCTACATATTTTTACCGGTTCATAATAAACCATATTTTATAAATATTTTACAACTGTGTATGCAAGGCAGAGTCTCTTGAAAGCTCTCTTAGCTCAGTATGCGAGCCTTCTCACACAACAATGTTAATCATTACCGCAATTGATGGGGTAAGGCATGTTATTAAAATCATGTTATTCTGGGCCGCATTTGAAAAAAGGTCAAAAAAGTTTGAAAGGGAGTTGTCGGGTTTTAATTAGCTGTGCGTTAGCTGCATGCAGTGCTTGCCTCCCATTTACTGCCACCTAAAGAATTGCGCTGAAACTGGTTTGCCTGGTATGTCACAATTTTTCAATGAAATGACTTAAGACGAAGGAGGTCAAGCTTAGAGTTGTAGGCAAGTATCAAGAATGCCAAGCACATATTTTTATGCTGCAACGTGCTGTTGTACGTGTCACATAAAGTACATGCACATCAGCACATCATAGTCATCAACTGAATTTGAATGTGAATTTCTTGTCGTAAACCAGGTCCCTCACTGGTGGGGTCTCTGAAGAAGGACTGGGCCTCTCCCAACAGCATCGCTCTCTCCTGGCAGCAGCCCAAAGAAACAGCGTTGCCCATTCTCGACTACGAGATCAAATACTATGAAAAGGTACTGTTGGTCCGAGGCCAGCAAAAAAATAAAAAATACCCTCTGTAGCCAAGATCAGACAAATATTTTGGCTAGCTAATAAAGAAGTTTAGTTTGGTCCTATTTTTGGTCTATCTATATGCACTTTTCAGTTGATATGGAACCATATGCAGCATCTTAAGCAAGGTTTCAAAAAGGACTCAGCACATCTCATGCAGAAGAAACGGTTTTGAATTTCAATTAGCTCATTATGCTAACTGGAAACAGAAGATATGATGGGTTTTTTTTTTTTTTTTTTGGTTTTTTTCTTTGTGCAACATTGCCTGGAGAATGTTAATGGACATGGCAACATAAGGCCACTGATACGTCAATGGCTAGACAATATTTGGTCAAAACCTTGATCAGTTTACAAGTTTTTATCTTTTTTTTTTCCCCAACATAGGAACGTGACCAGCTAAGTTATTCTTCAACAAGCACCAAGGATCCTAGTGTGATCATCACAGGCTTGAAACCAGCCACCTGGTACGTCTTCAGTGTCCGCACCCGCACGCCATCTGGATACAGCTCCTACGCCACCAGATATGAATACAAAACTACTGGAGATTGTAAGTTATCATATTGTCACAATGGTTCGAACGGTCCAAAAACATTTTTGTGAAGTTGTCTGTGTTTGTTTGTTTAGTTCCCATGCCGGTTGTGGTCTGTTCAAGTTGGATTCGTAAAAATCTTTGCCTCCACTGTTGCCAGCAGTTGTTCATAGCAGTAATAAATAAGCACTCACATTCTTGTGCAGCATCAAACTTACAATTGATGTAAAGACTGACATCAATTAATAAGATTACATTGTAGAGTTGGAGTTTAAAAAAAAAAAGATGCTTGTAAACGTCAGGATATGTGCTGTTCGATCGACCGACGTACTGTGTGCAAAGGTGTCTGCTAAAACAGCCTTGATGTTTCGTGTATTTGAAATCAATATTTATTTGTGTCTTTTTGAGACAAGGCAACAGCTTTATTGCAATTCTAATCATAAAATACAAAGGGGCCAGCTGCCCTTTTGTGTGAGGTCAGGCATTGTTGAGGGGTGATTTGGCACAGTGGCTCTCTCACAGTGGCTCTTTCTCCCATCCAAAGCTGCAGCGCAGGGTTTTATCTGTGGATCATACGGCGCTTGGCCAAGCCTTTGTACTTCCTGGCCTTTGATCTGAAAGTGAAAGCAGATTCGCCCCCTGTCGCTCGCTCTGTCTCTGTCAGCCTGTCTATCAGTCAGCGACTCAGACTTTTGTTTTTCCATCAGTCTTTGTCACATCTACCTCTCCCTTTCAGTCTTATTCGTCTTTATCGCGCCGCTGTCATCCTGTTTCCTCATCCCTCACGCCGCATCCTTCATTGTGTCCTCACCTCAATGTCATTGTCTTCTCACACACACCTCATTATAGCTGCATCAGTCCGGCACGTCCTTACCGGTGTGAAGAATATGTGAAGCTGTGACAGTAGTCTGGCGTGGGCACTTAGACTCCCTCTGAGCGGTCAGTAATGGCTGGAATAGGGCGGCCTGTGGCTGAGGTGCTAGAGTGGTTGTCAAGCAATGAAAAGATTGCAGGTTTGACTCCAGGTTTATTCCGCGCACCTGTCAGGGTTACTCATGATAGGTTGTCATCATTGAATTTCTCTACTGTGAGGCTAATACGGGATTTAGCAATGAATCATTGTTTTTCGATCACGTCACGTCCAATCTTGATGTGTGGATATCTTTGTTTAATGTGCGCTCATACAGATAGAGATAACCCCCGCCCCCCAAAAAAAGAAAATCACATGGAGCACTCTCAAGAAGCGTGTGTGACCAAGCACCCTGATCTGCAATTCATATTCATTAAGCACGAAATGTGATCGAAATAAGTTGGGTAATACCAATCATCTTTCAATTATCTGGTCTATGTCAGCCGCGTGACAAGACACAGAAAATGGGGGAAAATCATGAATATCAAATGTGTCCAATTTAACCAAATGATTATGGACTAAATCGCAATTTAATGAATGAATAACATTAATTAAACAGAATCCAGCCTACGAATCATTTCAGTAATAAGGCTGATGGAGGGCTTTTTACATCACAAAAAAAAACTGATCAAACATCTCTATCTCCCAATGGAGAAACGACAATGTCTATTTATGGAACCTTCGGGGGGAGCCCGAAGATGCATTTTCGATGACGTATTTTTGATGAAGTATTTTTTCCTCTTTCCTCCCCCGTCATGCTTCCCACACATCCCATTTTCACCCGCAGCCTTATTTCACCTGTCTTATATATTTCTTACTTTGCTGCACTATCCGTATTTCTTCCTAACCTAAAATGTATCACCCCTAGCATCGGACCTGGCCTCTGACCAAGGTCAGGTTTTGGTCATCGTTACGGCAGCAGTGGGCGGCTTTACCCTTATCGTCATCCTCACCCTCTTCCTCCTCATTACTGGAAGGTAAGATGACTTTACTGCCCCTGACTTCAATTTGTGCACACTATATGGAGTACAAAGTCTTTTTTTATATATATAAATACACGGGGGCGAAAGGGTAGAGAAAAAAATCCGCGTTTTTCATCAAAATGCTGTTCTGTTCTCACAAGACCTGACTTCTGGTAAATATTGAAGAAGTTTCTCCTAGTGTTATCCCAAAATTCAAACGTTAGTCTTCGCTCCAACTTAGAATCCAATGTGAGTTTCGAAACGGATTTTTATGTGTTTAAATTCCGCTGCATAAGTCATAAATACACCTTCAGTTAAGTTGACTACAAAACGTTTACACGACATGTCATTGTCATGGGTCCGTTCTAGTCATCGTCATGCTTAAACCCTTCTGTAGATTCAAATCCAGCGAATCATAGGCTAACTTAAAACTTAAAATTGTATGCCTCGAATGATGGGGGCTGCTGCTTTTTATTTTATTTTTTAAATTTGTTTTAGTACCAACGAGAAAAGTGGCAGGCAACTTTGTGGAAGCATCTGAAAAAAATAAATAAATAAAATCAAAAAGTAAGAAAAAAAGGCGAACGGTTGATTCCAAAAGTACATGACCCCTACTTCTACTGGCCACACTGCTCTTGTCATGAATAATGTTCCTTTTGCAGTATTTAAGTAGAGACTTTGGGGCCCAGGGACGCCTTTTGAAAAGTCACAGTAACTTTGACGAACTAACTTGGAGAACCGCTCAGAATGTTGGCCCGTACGAGCTAGATGGCGGATATTTTTAACTGAAAGTTGTCTGGAGGGGTTCCTTGAGTCGAACATTTGATCGTCTGTAGTTGCTGACCTTTCTTTTGGAAGAGCAATATATTTTTGTGACACATTCACAATGATTCTGATGAAATCACCAAACCATCTCCATACCTACACTGTGTGAAATGACAACTGCTGCTTCTACAGCCATAAAAGACCAACTCACACTGTACTTAATAAGCCTGTGCAAGTTCTGCCTGAGGTCGGCCATGTTATTCACCAGAAATTCCCTCCTAGAAGTACATCCTGTCTGATGATATATTTGAATCCAGCGATGAACTATGCCAGTTTCATTTGTGGCAGATTATTTCTTTATTGGCATGAACAGATGACATAACCATGACTGCCCAGTCTTGACTAGTGTCACATGCAAGGAGCTTTACTTCATAGCTCACTATGACCAAAAACAGTTTCTTTCTAGGTTCAGGAGATTCTCTGGTTAGCCACTGCAAAGGGGGAAATAAGTCCATCACTTCACACACAAGGTGTTTTTGGATGAGGATAATAATGAGGGATTTCCGGCAAGGAAGGTTTTGATGCTCTGCTAGTTTTTTTTTTTTTTTTTTTTTTTGTTTCCCCTCGTTACACAAACACATACTGAGCAACAAACCACTTGATCACAATATGTAGTCCTCGTGCCCTGAGTAGGAGGGACATTTGGTCTTTTTTGTGTACTTGAGCAGCTTGAGAACGATGAGAGCTTTCATGGGGCTCTTGTGGAAGGGAGGTTTTGCAAGAGCAAATGACATGTGAGGAGGTGGACCTTACTGTTCTCAAAACTTCCTGAAATTTGAATGCGTCGCTGTGCCTGATACATAAGAAAGATAACAACAAGCTGAAGCTTTTGTGTATACTCCGTCGTTGAATTGATGCTCCACCTTCTTTTTTCCCCTTTTTCCACCTCAATTCTTGGGTGACCTCTGCTATGATGATGTGACTGGTGGGGATGTTGAGGCAAGAGAGGAGGGGTTGGACTCCCTGTTCTGCTTTGATTAGTGCTCTGGGCAAAGTGCTTTAATTGAAGTTCCTGTTTTTGAGTGCTTATGTAAATGTGAGTGTGTCCTGCAAAAATCTCTTCTCATAACAAGTATTCATGTCAGTGTCGGCGTGTGCGGCCTGGACATGAAAGCCCGTCAGGGAGAAAGCGAACCAGGCGGATAAAGGGGATCAGAGGAAAGGACTGGAAACCACTGATAACGGCATACGCCGCCATTTCTTTAATGAATAACTTGACCCCATCAACAAAGGTCAACAATGGCTTTCCAAATCCCCCTTCTTCTTCTTCCTATGACTGTGTCACCTGCCATGTTATCGGCGCTGTCCATCGGTGTCCGGGACCCCACAGACTTAACTCAGTCAAAGCACACGCTGGCAACCTGTGGCTCAGAGCACCCTGACACCACTTCTAATCTGTTCACCCAGATTATGTAAAATCGCACAGATGCTCACATTTCGCTCTGACACAGTAGCTCTTCATCCAAAATGCTGAAAGCGGTCGTCTTGAACCTTTCACACCGCATCGTCACATCTCTTCACGTGGTAAACTCACAAGCTAAATATCTGCATGTGGCTGAAAAACACGAGCGGCAAACAAGACTGATGAACAACTGCCAGTATGGCTCTTCTGTTCTCTTTGAAGTGCTGAACATATCTTACTTAACTTTGTATAAATGATGGCTATTTCAAACTCCATCCACACTATGCTTCCCACTGGAAAAACTATTATCTTTACTTACTTTTTGAGCGATATTAAACATCCATCCAGCCTCCTGCTATTATCTGAATATTACATGTTAACACCATAGAATTCTCAGTGGCGCTCCTCACTGTGGATTTAACTGGCTATTTATCATCTTTAATCTTACACTGTGAGCAAAAAAACTAAATTGGAAGCCTTGGACTTCATTTAATGTGTGCGTTTTGCAGGTGTCAGTGGTACATCAAGGCCAAGATGACCTCCGAGGATAAGAGGAGGACCGATTATCAGAACGGACATGGTAAATGAATCAACAAACCTCATTTGTTTGGGTAATATTCATAATGTGAGCGTGATCTGCCATGGAAGTTCTGAGACGGCCTAAGGTTCAATCGAAGTCAGAAGAGCAGTACACAGGACACGGGCATAATGTCCAGTAAATTCAATACATAAAAATCTATAACTGACTTAAAAACATGGTCATGCTTTCACATCAATATTTTCATTGTTAAAGTTGCTGTTGCCTGTGGTGAAAAGCTGCACTTTACTAATTGGAGTTTTTTTTGTTTAGTTTGTTTTTTAAATATATAATTTCAGTTCCTCATTTGGCTATACATGATAAGGGCACAACATTGCAGTGCCACTCACCTAGTGCATTTCTACACTGATGCACACAACAACATATGATTTCGTCGTAGCAGACCACAAAAAATCATCGAATGAAGACTCATGTTTTGATATTAGTCAGTCAGTCAGTTCTTTGGTTCGTGACTAAGTCTGTTAATTAGTCCTGCCGTACTCTGAATGACACAGCCGAACCCAAATGAATTGTCAAATGTGCATGCTGCAGCCACACATTTTTTAAAGAGTGGCCGATGAGTCGCAACAATTTTTTTTTTTTGGATAGCAGGTGAACGGCGTCGCATTGTCACCAATGTGAAGGCCAGAGAAAAATGTTATATTGTATCACATGAGCCTTGAACAACAAAATTATTTTTCTGGGTACCCAACAAGATCAGTCTGTTTCTGTCACATGAATAGATTAAATATCCTTTCAAATATCCACATTCTCTCCTTTTATTTTTCACCCGTTTCCTCTCTTTGTATGATCATAATGCAGCGATAGCATTCAGGGCAATCTTCTTCTTCTCCTTATTTTACGGTGTTTGATTGTAAATTTCCCCAGTGTGGGACAAATAAAGGACATCTTGAGTAAAAAATAATACAGTAACATGTCAAGCCTCAAATTGTTGTCTCCCGAATTTGTATATATGTGCACTCCTCTGCACGTATGAGTGGCTAACTGTAATCAGTTGGAAATGTATCCAAGACAGTTATTTTCTACAGCGTGGCTCAGCGTGCGGCAAGCCAAGTTAGGCAAGTGGTGTATCGTGACCCACCAGGTTCTAGCAGATGGTGCTGCGGTGGGGTCGGAAAAAAAATTAAAAAAGCATACTGCCTGACAGGTTGCATTATCGCCACCCACAAGACTGGAGATGAACAGAATGTGTGACATATCTCTCATATTAAATGCTGCCTAAGGTTTATTTAATGAAGTGACCAGTGAAGGTACCACCGCGAACCTTTTGTGTCTATTATCCGTACTCGAAATGGAGTGTAGAGGAGAGGAGAACAAAGTCCTCGGGGTTTTGCGGTTGTTGCTTCATGCATCAGAGACAACTGATAGTTATTTATTTATTTTTTTGTTTGTTTGGGTTTTTTTTTTTGTGATGCTGTATCGATCACCCGCGGTGAAGCGCGGCTTGTCTTTGGCTTCCCTCCTGCAGGCAGTCAGGCTGTACTAAAGATTTGGTGACTTGCTCAAGGACACTTGTGCAGCATGGATGCTTGCATTAAGCAAGGCTTAAACAGAGTTATTGAAGTTCAATAAGACAGGCAAGATGTTTCTAGATTTTATCAGATGATAATTTGACAAGGAACATCTCTCTGCTTTCCAGAGATTTTCAATGCGATTACATCTTTTTTTCACTATGGTGTAATTTCTGTTTTTAATTAAAGGAGCTCAAGAGTTTAATTACGTTTCTCGAAATGATCGTCTCTGTTGAATTAATTTCACCTTTCAATTAGATCAACATATAAAGAGCAGAACAAAAAAAATAAAAATTAGTCCACCACGTCATACTACTTTTTGTCATTCAACCTCTGCAGTTCCTTTCCCTGGGATTAAGACCTATGTGGACCCCGACACTTATGAAGACCCCGCGCAGGCCATCCATGAGTTTACCAAGGAGATCGATCCATCTCGGATCCGAATTGAGAGGGTGATTGGAGCCGGTATGCATACACTTCACGCTTTTGCTGTCACTGCTTAATGTAAGCCGCCTTCTTGGATCACATTTGCTTTATGGGTGATCATCTGTTGTTGTTCATAACACACATACTTAAGAATCCCCTGCTGCTGATGTACACCCTAAAGAGAACCCATTTTAGCATTCCAAATGGTAACGTTATATACAGGCCCGTGTAGAAGTTACATTGACGAGGAAAAATATTTACAGAGAATGATCAAGTATGTCATTTTGAGGGGGTAGAGAGAGACATAATTTGAACTGGTCTAACTCAATCAGGTGTAAATTGCAATACTGCCCCCAGGTGGAGATAAAGGTACCTGGTGGTTAAGTGAGTTGACTCCCGCAGTACAATCTTTATTGAGATAAGGCACACGTTTGACTTTTGAAAATCCCATGGAACAACACTACAAATTGAATTGAAAGGTAAATTCGGTGCATTCTTCCATTTAAATAAAGAGTATTGATATTTTTGTGCCGATCAGTACATGTCACTGGCATAGTCGATAGATAAACCATTTTATAGCTGTAAAAATGAATAATAATTTTGAGAACATTTCAGTTAAATTGGATAATACTTCCTTGAGATGTTTGTTTTCCATTCCAGGTGAGTTTGGAGAGGTGTGCAGTGGCCGACTGAGAACACCCGGCAAGAAGGAGATAGCTGTGGCAATAAAGACACTGAAAGGTGGCTATGTGGAGCGTCAGAGGCGGGACTTCCTACGTGAGGCTTCTATCATGGGGCAGTTTGATCACCCCAACATCATCAGGCTGGAGGGTGTCGTCACAAAAAGTATGAAAGCCAACCACTGTTGCAGATCACAGCCACACTTTTTTTTAATATAGTTATAAGCACAGCGCACAGCCTTGAAACTGTACTCGGCACCTCAGTCAGAATACAAAGAGCTAAATTTCGTCTTTTGTGTTTCCAGTTCTATTCAAAGTAACACCATAATTCCCTCAATTGTAAAGGCACAATCAATCGCAGAATTTCCCACAATATTTCAATGCAAAATCTACGGTCCACAGATACTCAACTCCGATAAAGGCTGTTTGCTCCGGTCATTTGATTATTTTTATTCTCATTTCTAAAATCCTTGCACCTTACTCAACTGTTTTTTTCCTGATTTATACACGACCGTTAAATCATCTGTATGCTGTTTTGTTTTGGTTGTGAAGTTTATATATGTGTGTTGTCTGCGAGACTGTTGTAATAATATAATGTGAGCATTATACATAGATTATCCTCTGGTGTGTGCGTGAGTGTGTAGCGCCAGGTGTCATTTTTACGGAGGGGTAAATTTTATGATTGCAAAGTGTGTGTGTGTGTGTGTGTGTGTGTGTGTGTGTGTGTGTGTGTGTGTGT